GCGAAGAGGTGCGTGGGGGGATGAGGAGTGAGTGGGGACCCCAAGAGGTATGTGGAGGGGATGATGAGTGATGGGGGAGCAGCACACAACAAGGGGATGAGAGGTGCATGGGGGGATGGGGAGTGAGTGTGGACCCCAAGAAATACATGGGAGGGATGAGTGGGGACCCTGAGAGGTGCATGGGGGGATGAGGAGTGATGGGGAAGCAGCACACACAGGATGAGAGGTACATGGGGAGGTGAGGAATGAGTGGAGGCCCTGAGGGGTACACAAGTGGATGATGGGAGACCCCAAAGGTTATGTGGAGGCGATGAGGAGTGATGGGGAAGCAGCACACACAGGATGAGAGGTACATAGGGGAGGTGAGAAATGACAGGGGACCCCGAGGTGTAATATGAGGGGTGAGTGGAGACCCTGAGGGATACATGGGGGGGGATGAAGAATGGTGGGGAAGCACACAGAGGGGATGAGAGGTACATAGAGGGATGAGGAGTGATGGGAGACCCCGAGAGGTACGTGGAGGGGATGAGGAGTGATGGGGGAGCAGCACACACAGGAGATAAGAGGTACATGGGGGGGCTGAGGGATGATGGGGGACCCCGAGGGGTATGTGGAGGAGGATGAGGAGTGATGGGGGACCCTGAGAGGTACATGGGGGGGATGAAGAGTGATGGGGAAGCACACATAGGGGCTGAGAGGTATATAGAGGGATGAGGAGTGAGTGGGGACCCCAAGGGGTACATGGGTATGTGCTGGGAGACCCTGAAGGGTACGTGGAGGGGATGAGGAGTGAAGAGAGGTTGAATCCCCCAGAGACATTACAGTGGGGCTGGAGGAGGAGCAGCAGAGAGGGTTGAGGGGCAGGATGAGAAGCTGAGAGGGTGTTGGTTGGCCCCTGACCAGTGGATCAAACAGCACTGCTCTTACCAGTATCAATGAAGCCAAGAATGCAGAGTGTGATGGAAACATTAATGCTCTGAATGCTGAATTCCTGCCTCAGGGAGCTGAAAAATCCATCCAGGGCAAACTTAGTTGCAGAATAGGGGACGGTAAAGGGAAACCCAACTTTACCTGGACACAGAGTGAAGTTCTGTTATAGCACAGAAAGCTGTTCTGCCTCAATTTTTCTTTTGCCTTTCATCCAAGTATTTTCCCCAGAGGGGAAAACTGTTATTGTTAGTGAAATGTCATCCTGGCACCTAACAGCAGCATTACAAATATTCATGTTGGCTTCCAGCTCTTTTTAAGGTCTCAAGGCCAACACCACAGCTCATGGCTCTGCTCAGGGTATGAGCAACCCACAGCAACCACAAAACCTTCAGTGGGGAGAGATGGTGCAAAGTTTAAACTCTTGTCCCTGGACACTGAGCTAAGTGGATCACCAGAATACTGACCAACATACCAGCTGTGGGGTTTAGTTGCAGGGCTGGTAAAAAAGCCAACTGGGATAGTTGGGTTGTATCAGAGAATGAATTTCACCAAGAAAATCCAAACCCAATCTGGATTTGGGTATTGGGGTTGTTTTGGGTGGGGTTTTTTTGAGTGTTAAGCAGTTTTAGGTCCTTTAGGATGCATGATGTGTCTCTACTTGTGAAAATCAGCCCATGGTGTCTTTTGAGTGAATCCCACACCTCTTCCCTCACTCCCCACTCACCTGCCATGGATGAAACCACCACAATGCTGCCCTCACTCTCCTTCAGCATGGGCAGGGCTGATGTGGTCATGGCCACGTAGCTGAGGAAGTTGATTTCCAGGAGCTTTCGTACGTGCTCAACATCCCCATCGAAGAAACCAAAGTATGATGCACCAACGTGGTTAAGAATCAGCATGTCCAGACCTCCTGCAAGCAGAGGAGTGGGTGTTAGTGCTAGGGGGGAGAGGACTCCAACCAGCAAAACAGCCTTTCCTGGAAGCAGAGTAAGTGTAACCTAAAGAAATCAGGTTTTTAGGTCAGAGCTGTGGCCTGTTATCTCTGGAGTAGAGAGAGAGTCTGGATGATGCTGCCAGTAAGAATTGTGTTGTGATATCTATTTTTTTGAGGTTCAAAATACAAATACCATGGTACAAGGGAGAGATCACCCTTAAGTTGTCTGTGTTTCCAGGAGGGAGAGGGAGTGCTCCCCAGGGAGCTGAAATAATGCATTTCTGCAGCCCTGACCCATGACCACGATAGCAGGGCTGATGGATGCTCAGACCCTGGCACTGGGGTGATGAAATCCAGGGTTGTGATACTGCAACAGGATGTCATGAGGGCACAGGGCTGAAATCCAGAGCGCAGTTCAGCCTGAGAGATGCAGCCATGAAGCCAAGGAGAGAGGAGCAGGGCTGCAAAGGGCAGAATTGGGGCAAGATGGGAGAATTTTCCCCCTATCTTTCCCATATTTTTTTGAGTGTGCACATGGCAAAAAAGCATGGCCAGGGTGAGATGTCATGTTCTGTCACATACCCAGCAAGGTCTCTGCCTTCCTCACCACGTGCTCAGCAAAGGCCATGTCCTCCATGGTGCCACTGATGTACTGTGCTGAGGCTGCTCCAAGCTCCAGGCACTGCTCCACCACCTGCCACACAGCACAGCCTGTCACAAACTCCCTGCCCTGCCAGCCTGGTGTGGTAGCAAAAGTGACTGTCAGCTCCCTGAGATGTGTCCCCACCTTAAAACAGCAGTTTGGAGGTTTTTTGGGGAGTGTGTTTGGAGCCTTCCAAGCTTCAAAGAGAGGTTGGAAAATGATTGTTTTGGTGAGTGTGTTACCTGGGGCAATCTGGGCTGGAATTGCATGTGTAGGGAGAGCAGGAGGTTGTATATCACTGCAGTGGAATGAGGGTGTGTGTATGTGTGGATATGTGTACATAAGTTCAAATATCATCCTGAGCTCTGTGTGTGTGCAGGAGAGGGATTTCTGTGCCTGCAGGAGCCCCAGAGAGCACAGGTGTGCTGTGAACATCACCTTGCCCAGCTGGCATTAGTTCCCTGGTGGTTAGATTGTTGGTGGATCATGTACTTGTGATGTGAGATTGGCCTTCAGGGGTTTCTGTGTGCCCTGCCATGAATATGTATGTGTGAGTGCTCAGCTTGCCATTTACTTTCTGCAGTTTGGCCTCTGTCCGTGCAGTGATGAGGATGTGGGATCCCATCCGTGCCAGGTGATATGCAATCTGTTCACCAATCCCTGTGCTGGCTCCGGTGACAATCACCCTCTTCCCTTTCAGCATCTCTGCAGGCAGAGGCATTTCATTTATCCAAATGCTTTTTTTAAAAAAAAAACAAACCACTCCTACAACTAAAAGAGTTAATTGGAAAGTTAAGTGAGCAAGCACAAAGCATCAGACACTAGGATGTGTGTCCCATCTGCTGGAAAAAGCTGCAGTGACACAGGGGACAGCACTTGACCCGTTCAGCAGCTTTTTCCACAAGTCAGGACACAACTTGTCAACATCCCAACTCTTCTGTAATGCAAATCACCCCCCAAGCTTTTAAGTCCAACAGTTCAAACTCAGATTTATCCATTCTTTTGCTTGGAAAATGGAACATCCAGCACCCTCTCAGCCTCACTGCTCCTTCAAGAGGTATTGCTGCCTATTCCTTGCTCAGTTTGGTTTCAAATCTTTGTTAAAACAACTCTGCAGTATCAGCCACCACACAAAGGCTCAGATGTTTGCTCCGAGCTCTGTAAAGTTTCTATGCAAAACCCTCCAAAGTGGCTCTTTTTTTTTTTTTTTTTTTTTTTTTTTTTTTCTCCTTAAAAACAGATTCACTTTGGACACTTACCCGGTTTGAAATTCTCCCTCGCAGAATAAAACCAGAAGGCCAAAACCAATCCCAGCAAGGGAATGAGAATCTTTTGCAACCGACCCATCCCACTGTGGAGTCAGGAAATAAAGCAATGAGAGAGAAGGAAGGAACAAAAAAAAAGAAAAAGCAGGAAAAAAAAAAACCAAACCAACAAAACCCTTTGCAGAGCTGCTCCAGAGGGGGAAGCAGCAATGCAGATCCTTAAAAACCTGTTAGCGGAGGAGCTGCGAACTTCCAAAGCCCTGGAAAATCACGGGTGGATGGATAAAGGAAGCAGAGCCTTTGATTTGCTCCCTGCTGGAGCTGGCGAGGCTCGGCCTGGCCGCAGGGGCTGTTTGGGTTCTGCCCGGCTCTTTTCATATTTCCTGTCCCACGTTAAAATGCAGAATTTTTTTTTTTTTTTTTTTTGCACAACACCCTGGAAGAGGTGTGTCTTTGCTCAGCAGCATCAAGTTTCACTTGGAGAACATCAGAGGGAGCCTAGTGCAGGTGGTTAAACATCAGTTTTTATTCCTATTGGTACTGTACATGGATGTGACCCAGCACTGGCACAGGGGGAGAGCTCAGGGGCTGCTGTGCCATGGGGGGACACAAAGAGAATGTCCCTCTGCTCCCCAGGGCATCACTGCTCTGTGCCCAAAGCTGCTCCTGATCTCTCCTCTGTGGGAGGGAGTAGAGGCTGAGCTAAACTCATCCCCAAGGTGCAGCCATCCCAGCTCCAAGGGCTGTCCAGGATAGGGAGGTTTGCAGTGGAATCCTAAATGTGTTTTGGGGTTGTTCAGCCTGGAGAAGAGGAGGCTCAGGGGAGACCTTCTCACCCTCTGCAACTCCCTGACAGGAGGTTGGAGTCAGGTGGGGGTTGGTCTCTTCTCCCAGGCAACCAGCAGCAGGACAAGAGGGCACAGACTCAAGCTCTGCCAGGGGAGGGTTAGGTTGGAGATTAGGAAGAGATTTTTTCTGGAGAGAGTGCTCAGGCATTGGAATGTGCTGCCCAGGGAGGTGGTGGATTCCCCATCCCTGGAGGTTTTCAAGCTGAGACTGGATGTGGCACTTAGTGCCATGGGCTAGTGACCACAGTAGGGTTGGACTTGATGATCTTGAAGGTCTTTTCCAACCTGGTTGATTCTGTGATTCTGCTGAGAAATAAGGGACCTCACTACTGTAGTTCCTGCTCTGAGTTTTGCAAGAGCTTTGTTCTGACTTTTAAGTGACTCTAATCATGAGTAAAACCACATAACACCCACAAGCTCCCTGAGCCTCAGCAGCAGCAAGTTCAGGGCCATGGATCTTGTGCAATAGGGATGAACCACATTCCAGCTGGGATCTGGTGCTGAGATCTTTGCTGCTAAGTACTGGTAGCTGCTGTGGTGTGGGGACACACTGCAGGAGTTCCATGTGCTCCTGGAGCTGCCCTGGTAGAGCTTTGGCCTTCTCTGCTTTAGGAAAGGTGTGTTTGGTGGGACAAGAGCCTCATTTAGTTTCTAGCTGGCAGGATGGAGATCAGTTAAAGGTTGGATGGTGATCTTGGAGGTCTTTTCCAACCCAAATGATTCTGTGACCTGCAGGGCAGGGACTGGTCTGATTTCCATGGGTACAATGCCATGATTTTCCCTTTCAGACCAATCTAACATAACCAGCCAGAAGGAATGACTTGATTTTTTTTTTTACCCCCTATTGCATCTTTAAAATAAAAGTGATTAAATTCAGTGGTGTACCTGTTAGGGCAGAGGAGCTCTCTGACTTTGCTACTGCTTTACAAGTGATTTTTTTTCTTTATTTCTTTCCTGCCTTTCTACTTCAGTCCCAACTTTCCCCCTGATAAGAAACACTTGGACTACACTTGGTCAGATAACACCAGTGCAGTCACTTTGCTTTTTCCTGCCTCCCTTTGCTTTGAACTTGGGTCATGCTCATGGGATAACCATTTCATTCCTTGGCTTGGAAAAAAACCCCAGTGAAATAATGAAGTAATTAGGCATATCATGGCTGTGATCTCTTGTCTGTGTTGTTAGCAGGGAGAGAGGCTCTTCTTAGATATTTGTGTTTGTTATTAGCATTAGGATCCAGCAGTAAACCAATAACCCTCAACCTTTGTGCAGTCTGCAAGTGTGAGGGGAAGGTATGATGCTCTTTGCTCCACATCAGCCTGGGGGGATGGAGCCAACACTGCTCTTGTCTTGCTGGTGGTAATGAGAGTTGTGGGGTTGGGTTTTTACAGAGTAGCTGAAAATAAAAGACTGAAACACTGACTATTTTGGACAAAACTTCCACAAATTTTCTTTTATCAAAAGTTTCTGCTGCTTAGTGTGTCCTGAGTAGGAATGAAGTGTGGGGAGTGCTGGTGTGGTCCCCAGGACAAGCTGTTGGATCTGGCCACACTTCCCTGCCCGTGTGGGTTTGCTCTTGGCTGCCTGTCCCCTTCCAGGGTGCTGCTGCTCCTCACTCCCACTCACAGCTTTTTCTGGACTTGTTTTCCTGTGTGCAACTTAAGAACTTGTTTTTAACTTTTTCCTGGGGGCGGGGAGTGAGGGAAGGGAGAGGAGGGCAGGAAAAAGTGATGATGGAGAAGGGTTTTGGGATCTCAGCTGGTCCAAACCTTGGCAGAGGGGAGCCCAGTGGTGTGCCCAGCCCCAGTCTGGGGAGAGGGAGTCCTGCTGCTTCTGGAACAGCTTCACCTGAGTTATCCTGGATGTATTCCTCTCCTGCAAGTCCCTTTTGTCCCCTGTCTGTTTGGAGCTGTGTTTTCCAAGGGGTGATGCTTGGTGTGCTGCTGCCTGCTCTGCTCTGGGGAGGTTCTCATTCAGTGCTGCCTGGAGCTCTCACAGAGGAAACAAATCTGTGAAGGAAACTTGTTCTGACAACAAACTGGGAGAGGGAAACTTGGGGAGCCCCTGGAGGGAGCACGTTCCAGGGCAGGGGTGAGGCTCAGACAGGTTTTCGCAGGCAGCTCAGGGACTCTGAAGCACTTGGCAGGAATTTGGATACTGCTTCTTTTTTAGTTCTTTTGACTGATATTTGGCTTTTTTTTCAACCCATTGCCAAGTCTTGGTTAAGTGCAGAGGATTTTCCTTTTTCTTTTTTTCCTTCCCCCCTTGCTTTTCTTTCTCTCATAGACATGAAACCATTATTTCTCAGCCCCAGCTCTGCCAGTGTCCTTTAACACAGCTCTAAATCCTTTCTTTACAGACAGGACAGTCATGTTATCAAGGGCTGCCTACAGTTGTACTTGCCTTGAGCTGATTTGCCTGTCACTAAGATGCTATTGGGCTGTGACAGATGCATGTGGGTGTTGCCACATCTTCCTATCACCTCCCTGTGGCTCCTGGGCACCTCCTGCAAAGCCCCAATTGCTGTCACAGCTGCACTGCTCTGGGAAAATGATGGTAGGATGGGTTGGGTTTGGTTTGACATCCTATTTCTACACATTGCTGGTTGAGAGAAAACTTTCTTGTTCAAGTCATTTCGAAGTGCTAAATTTATGGTGTTTTTTCCCCCCTGTGTGACCAAATCAGGAATTGCTGCCTTGCTATCTCATTGTTGGAACTAGGGATTCTTTCAGTGCTGGCTGCTGTCCATGTCCCCAGTGCCCTTGGTGTTGGGTGGCAGGGGTTGATATGTTTATCTGCACCCCTAAATTTAGACTGGCAGTTCCTGAAATAACCAGTGTCCAAACTGGAAATAGCCACTGAGGACTCTGTGAAGACATTTGGCTCATGCTTTTGAAGTGGTTGACTCCTGGGTATGAGTGGCTCTCAGCTTCAGATGTCCTGAATGACAGCTCCAAGCTGAAGTAAGATCTTTGGGGAGATGCTACAGGATGGGCACAGATAAATACTCACCAGATCTTGTGCCACCTACAATTTTCCTGAGGTTTTAATGTACCATGAAAACGTCACATTTACAGGTTAGAGTAAACTAAATTCAGATAGAGAATAAAAAAGGAACAACAGAAATCAACCTCATACCAACCCAGCAATGTAACTCACCCCTTGGGCAATGTGTGGGTTTCCTTGAGAGCTTATCCTTCAGGATTTGAGTTTAACTTAGCTTTAAATGTTCTGTCAGCTTCTACACAGTAACTTGCCTAGGGTGTCCTCACTAGTATTGTCTGCACATCATCTGGTTGCTCTCTGGTATATCCCAGTTCTTAGCACTAAAGTTTGGCTTTTCAGTTCCCCCCCCCAGGCTATGGGAATGGTTCTGTGTGTCTGCTCTTTGCTGTATTTGTGGCAGTTGTATTGGTCAGGCTCTGCTGCAGTTTGGTGTGGAAATACAGACATGGTAGGGCTGGATTTGGAGGGTTGTGCATTGGTTTGAAGATGGGGAAGTTTGCTCAAGCCTTTTAACCTACTGCATCTAGCAATTCTGTCTTTTATCATCGTTCAAGTGATGTCAAAAGGGCTTCCTTAAGCCTCTATGCACACTGAATTTACTGCTGTGTGGTTTGAATAAAATTTTATATGGTCATTGTGGTAAAATCAGCTATTAATGACGAGTTCACCACTCAGTCCTGTCTAGCATCAGTGCAATCTGCTGGGGAGGTGGGAACACACAGGGATGAGCTCTCAGTTTGCCCTTTGGGGGTGATGTGTGTCCAGCAATGACCTCTGAGCTTGCAGGACGTCAAGAGCAGGAGATTGTCTTCTGCAGGACATGATTTCCCCAAGGAGGCTCCGGAGCTGCCGTGATGCTTTAGCTGTCTAATCCCCTTAGCTGTCTTAGGAAGAGCTATTTTCACTGTGCCACAAAGCTCTTTGCTTTAAGCTCATAAACCTGTGGCTGGATAACTGTGCAGAGGAGGTGGTGAGCAGCAGGGCACCAGCAAGGTGTGATGAGGACACCTTTGTGGTGTGAAGACAAACCTGAGGTCCAAATCCAGACATGGTTGGGGTGAGCCTGGGTGGGTTCACCTGGAGCTCCCTGCTCCTCTGGACTGTGTTGTGCTGCTTGGGACCAGCTCTGTCTCCTCATGTTTCAAATTGCCCTTTCCCATGAGGCAGGAGGAGACACCTCTAATTTGTAGAGGAGGACTAATCTTGGGAAGTGATGTGTGATTAAGAGTTGCCTGGGACAGAGGTGATTTGAGATGGGATTCTCATCTTGGTTTAATCCGTTTGTTGAGTGCTTGGCTCTGACAGAGTGAGAGCTCAGACATGGGAACACTGAGACAGCCACAGACATCCAGATTCCTGGTTTATCCATGCAGCAAACCTGCCACAGGGAATTCCAAGTCAGCCTTCCCTACCCCTAAGGCCATACTGCAGTCATATAACCTCTTCAAAGCTGGAGTTGGCTGGGAGGGGGAGGACAGTGGACACTCCTCAGCTGATATTTCCCTTCAGGCCTGAATTCTTATGTTTTCCCATGAAACTTCCACTGGTGTCAATGAGGGATTGGATTGCTCAGCCTTGCCAGAGATCAAAGGTTTGGTTATGGACTAAATGAAGGGCTTATTGAAAGCCATTTTTAATTAACTTCAGTTTTACTTGAGGAAAAAAGTGCTTTAAACTTGATTAAAAGCTTGAACAGAGCTTTGGTGTAGAGACTGGGCAGGATCTCTCCTCTGCAATGTGCTGCTCTTTTGTTGTTTGTGGGGGTTTTGTAAGAGTAATAATTGTCAGCAAAATGAACTGTGGGTTATGTATTATGAAATTGTCAGGGGGAATTTCAGCTGTGTTCTGATATTTTCAGCTCCAGGAGGAGCTCTGCATTCTGTACCAATGCTGGGCAATGCTTGATAAAGCACTTTTTTTTTTCCACAGTCTGCTCTTTGGATCAATTGTTTTGTCTCTAGCTAGACAGTGATGTATTACTGGTACATCTTCCATTTCTATGCAAGGTGTGTAACCTGCTCCTACCTCTGTCCCACTGGTGTCTTTGAGCAGATCAAGAGGGATTTTCTGCCCCAGCCATGACTAGCAGGGACTGTTTTCCTGCCCTCCTTTCTGAAGTGTGCTCAGGATCATTCAGCTGTCTGGAGGCTTTTTTTAACTAACATGACCTAACTCTTAAATGCAACAGTTTCTTGCTAAGCCCCAGTAAGATTTTTTGAAATAGGTGAAAGTCCTCTAATGATTCTGGCAGTGCCCTGGGTACAGCCTGAAGCTTAAAAGTGTTTCCACACCCTCCAGACTGACTGTGCCATCTCCATGCTTCAGTTTTTCCACCTGTGACACTCTTGTAATACTGGAAACTAAGATTAATCTGCACAATTAGGTGTCAGTGGAGGCTTTGTGATGGATCCCAGGAAAGGTGGAAGTTTTTTAGCTGGGCAGCAGCCTGTTGGAGAACTGCCAGGGTAAGGACAGGGGGGTTTATTTATTTTTAAACAGTTCTGTGCACATGTGGCCATGACAGAGATATAGATCTGTGTCACTGAACCCAGATAACCCCCTGAAGTACAACCCCACCTCCAGCTTGGGGCATTTGGCACATGTGTGACACCAAGGTCACCTCCTCCCCAGCCCCAGACAGCCCATTTTGGAAGGGATCAGCTGCCAGAGGGACAGACACACTAACCCCCTTGGCCCAGAGCAGCCTCACTAGGGAGGGGGCAGCCCCTTCTCTCCACTCTTCCCTGGGTCCTCCCCACAGAGGAGAACCAGAGGTGTGAGTAAAACCAATCTGCAACTCAACTCGAGGCAGCTTAGAAAAACCAAGACGACAGAGAGAGAGAGCACAGGTACCATATAAAATATTTATTGATCTTGCAAAATGGTGTAAAATGCATCTGTAATAAAAATAAGAAACCATGCTGTGCATCTTGCACAGGTTTATACCAACAAAAGGTATTTTTTCCCACTGCTGCACAGCAGCAAATATAACCCTTCACTTCTTTCAAGTCTCTCACTTGCAGTTCTCCTTCAGCCAAGCCTTCTCTCTCCAGGCTGGAACCCACCAGGTAGGACGGGGCAGCAGAGTCTCTGTGCTCAGTTGCTCAGCAGGCACCTCTGGGATGGGCCTAGGATGCATGTTGTCTGGCCCTCTGCATCACCACGGGCTTCTTGCTCTTTTCCAAGATCAAATCCTCCTGTTTTGGGGGAAGCCTTTGCTCTCGTGTTTGGGCAGGTTTCTTTTCTTCCTCTAGCCTCCCTTCAGAGCTGAAAGGGCTGCAGACAGTCTCCACCAGACCAATAACCACCCCGAAGAAAGCCAGCACGCTGCCCAGCATGTACAGCTTGACCATCTTCCTGTTGGGCTTCTGGCTGAGCATTTCTTTGGCGAAGGGGATCAGCTCGTGCATGGTTTCCATTGTTTTGGCAGCAGTTTTAGGTGTCAGTTCTACAAGAGAAGAGAGAAGGGACATCAGTTAAATCCAGTGGCAGAGCTCCCTACACACCTCCCAGCCTGGTTTTAAAGTGTGTTTGTGCAATGTTTGCTTCGGGAAAACACATCCAGCCCTGGTAGCTGCAGGGGAGAGCAGACCCTCTGCAGTGAGGCTGTGGGGACAGGGGGTCTAACTGAGCATCCCCCCATGGCATCCCTCTCCTCA